AGAGAGAGAGAGAGAGAGAGAGAGAGAGAGAGAGAGAGAGAGAGAGAGAGAGAGAGAGGCAGTAGAGGTGTGATCAATGCAGTATGGTTTTTTATCAAATAATTAGGGGAAGGTAACTACACAAACATGCAAAATTAAAAATAGTCATAAGCTCTGAGCTAGGAATTTGGGATGGGATGTCATATTTATTTTGGGAATACGTCAGTGTTAATTTTGGAATGTTGGTCAAATGCGAGTATGAGCTAATTGTATGTCCAGTTGAGCGCTTACTGGTTTGCTCTGTGTATGATTTTGTGTTGCAGACCCTTCTAAAAGCGGACTCTGTATTGTACTCAGTATATCCCGTTTTTGGGTTTGATGATATTGCAAGACATGCAAGCAAGGGGATGGCCGATGATTCTCAGGTGAGCCCAATAACTGTTGTCGGCTCTGTATTTTTTTCCTCCCTTTTTTCCTGTTATTTATTCCTTTGTCTTGGTGGGTCACTGACCAGATATTTAGCTGAGCAGAACGTATACTACATATGTTAGATTCATCCTACTAAGCCCTGGACGTGATTGCTGTTAGATTCACACTAGGACCTTTTCTACTAAGCCCTGGACGTGATTGCTGTTAGATTCATCCAGGTCCCGCCGTAATTGCGGTCAGCCAGGGTTGCATACCTGCCGACCGCCGACCCCGACCGCTGACCGTTTTGCAGCCGACCAGTAGGGCCGACCGGTCGGCGGTCTGCCGACCAGTCAGAAAACAGCCATCCACTGTCTTTTTTTCAAATCTGAGTCGGGGGCTTTTCTCCGCTTGCTGAGTACAGCCCAAATCCGCTGAGAAACTTTTGGGGATGGGGTGGGGTATAGCCAATCGTCGAGGATAGAAGATTTCTTCCCTACCATCCATAGCCCGGTCACTTATCCGGGGTGGCGACGACCCCTGACCAGTAGGTGCCGACGACCCCCATCGGTAGTATAGCCTGGTCACTTATGCGGGGGTAGTATAGCCTGGTCACTTATGCGGGGTGCCGACGACCCCCATCGGTAGTATAGCCCGGTCTCTTATGCGGGACTTTAACTGCCCGTTAATTATCAGGAGCTTTCCATGTCATTGGATCAGTACCTCTGGGCCTCAGCCCTCCTCCGTGCAAGCACGGCCTCGAACCAGCGACCTCGGCCTCAAGAGCCAAGTATTGTAACCATTACAGCCAGGACACGATGTTCAAAAAGCGGAACCGTACCGGCCGTGATATCTGCCCCACCCCTGCAAGGCTGTAGTGTCCACACTCAACGCACACCACGCACAACACCACACGGACGCTGGCGATGAGCCCTCCATCAGGTTATGGGAATTGGATGCATGACGGATCTCTTTTCTTTTCTCCTTTCATTTTTTGATTTATGTGTGTTATTCTTGCACAGGGGCCATGCTTGTCTTCTATACTGTGCCAATTTTAACTGGTGCCCCTAAGGACAGGATTTCAGTTTTTCTCAAAGCTAAGTTCTTCCTTTTCCGCTAATGGTTAATGATATGATGCCTTTGCTAGTCAATCAGCAATTGCTAAATGGGGACCGAATGGAGAGAGGCTGAAAGATGGTGAAAGTCTGGGAATGGAAGGAAGCAGCAGGGGGGCAGAAAGTTAGCTAACAAGGATGGGAACACTTATGGTACAGAGTGTAAAGGATGGCCACCTGGAAATGGATGGCTAATGTGCGTCGGCATGTGCTCTCATATTTGCTTTTAATTTTCTTTGTGTGTGTGTGGGTGATTCTGTGTGCATGGCTGGTTGGGTCGACTCACCCCTTGATGTGGTTCTGCTCCATCGTGCCAACAGAATTATGTGTCTCTCATGATCAATTGTGGGGCGACAGAAGATTTGCGGCGCTTGCTAAATGTTGGCAAGCGCACACTCATTTTTGTTATTGACAGCCATCGGCCCATTCATTTACAGAATCTAAACCAATTCAATAAGCAGGTATTTATTTTTTCCACCCTCATCGACTGACTTCCCCAAACGGTCTTCATGTTAATTCATGCTTGTGATGGGACCAACACACCTCAGATTGTACACCTCTCTCCCTCTCTCTCTCTCTCTCTTTCTGTTTTCTGTGTGTGAAATTTCTTTGTGTCTTTACTGAACGCAACTCCACAGAAAAAGGGAGACTGTGACAGACTGTTTTGTCAGACTTTTACCGACTGGTGTGTGTGCTCACTACACAACTCCTCAGAAGAAAGGTGACTGTGACGGAGTGTTTTGTCAGACTTTTGCGAACTGGTGCGTGTTTGTGCGTGTGTGAACACACACATGTGACAGACTGTTTTGTCAGACTGTCACCAACTTGTGTGTGTGTGTGTGTGTGTGTGTGTGTGTGTGTGTGTGTGTGTGTGTTATCATGGTCGCTGTACACATGTCCACAAGAATAGCATACTGTGCCAGACTGTTTTGTCGGACTTTCATCGACCATAAGAAGGTTGAACACCAACAGTCTGCCCAGGATGCATTTGACGGATGGATAGGGACTTACTGCACCGCCCAGAGTTAGCAATACCCCTGAGAAAAGTGTCGTGTGTGTGTGTGTGTGTGTGTGTGTGTGTGTGTGTGTGTGAGTTTTTTTTTTGAATTCAGTACATCGAGGCTACGCTGTAGCAATTGCAGGTCATATAGCTTTTCTTCCAAAGATTCAATAAAGATGAAAAAAAAATTCATAGTCAATTGAGAATGTTCCTAATCTTAAGAATGAAACCAAAAGTTTTGAATGTCGTAGCCAAAGAAATTGGCAAACAATCATGAAAAAAACAACAACAAAAAACTGCAAACACTGAACAGAACTCCACAGAAAAAGGGTGGCTGTGACAGATTGTTTTGTCAGAGTTTCATTGACGTGTGTGTGTGTGTGTGTGTGTGTGTGTGTGTGTGTGTGTGTGTTTTGTAAATCTTTCACTAGCATATCTGATTCAACCGAAATCATAAGTATGTGAATATTGTGAAATGCTCTTTCCGGCCAAGCAGAGGGTCTGTTGGCTGCGAAATTCACCGTTCATTGTATTGGGTGATGGCGATCTTCATGTTTGAGAACAAGGTCCTCTGTGGCTGAGTGGTTAAGCGAGGAGTGACTCATGGGGAGGAAGGGGAAGAAATCACGCCCTTACTGTGACTGCCACTTCAGGACTTTTGGTGCCTGTTAGCAGACGAAAGGAAACAGGGAAGGTCAAGTCACAGAACAGACAAACACTTAGCAACAGAAAAACGTCAAGGCATTGCAATACAGATTGTCTTTGCAAATGAAATCCATTCAATTCAAGTCAGTACTCTTGCATATGTCTTGGTCGTCAGATAAGACACCAGACTTGGTGAACTGTGAAACTCCAAATTGTTGAAGCTATATCAGTGTGTGTGTGTGTGTGTGCGTGCGTGCGTGTGTGTGTGTGTGTGTGTGTGTGTGTGTGTGTGTGTGTGTGNNNNGAGAGAGAGAGAGAGAGAGAGAGAGAGGCTTCTCTTCATACAATGCTCTGATGGTTCTTTGCTGAGTAGGTGTTTGTGGTTGGCCGGTTTGCAGGTTGTCATTGTGTACACTGATGAGGATGAAGCAGAGTTGAACACAGCTTATTCATTTCCAGTTTCTCAGTTAGCAAATAATCCTGAATCTGATAGCGAGTTTGACGAATCAGACTTGGAATCTGACGAGGATGAGGATGAAGATGAGGAGGATGATGACGATGATGAATTTGGGGGACTTCGGGTGCGAGGTGCGAGGACAAGAAGAGGAGCAGACACTGTAGATAGGCAAGAGAAGCGCAGGCGACAGAAGCAGAGAGTAGAGTATTATTCTAGGGGTTCCTTTTACGGCCGTCCAAGTGGTTGCGTCATGTATGACATTGCACATCAGCTCCGCAGAAACACCAATGAACTGCTTTGGTGAGTACAATACTGTCCGGAAACCCTCCTTTTTTTTTTTTTTCCCCTTTTGCTCCTCCTGGAGGGGCAAATCAATCCCTGAGGCCCTGAGGCTTGTGACGTTGAACTCTCAACTACTAGTCGTTGGTCATTTTTCATGGATGCACTTCTTTTTGGACCATTCGACTCTACAGAAAGAACGGCATCCATGAGACAGAAAAAGTGCTTCAACTACTGGTCGTTGGGCATTTTTCATGGATGCCCCTGGGCCAAATCAATCATGGAGCATTGGACGTCACAGAAATGGTGCTTCACACTCTACCCTTCTTTTTCCTTCCTGTTTTGGATTCCGTTTTGTCCTTCTTGTCAGAATGCCCCTGATGCTTGATGTCTTTTCATTCCGAACATTCCCAACAGCACACTTAAAATTGTTTGGTCAGTTTGTCTGTCCAGCTGTGGCTGTGGACAGCGTGCTAGCGCTGCACGAGCCATATGCTGGGAGCAAGGCCCAGTGCTTATGCCAGATAGTGTAAGGGGCAGGCCACACTGGACTATGTCTGGGTCTTTTGCTAGGAAAATGGATGGTTCCATCTTCCAAGTCAGATGATAAAATTCATCTTTGAATGTCACACATCAATTTTCGGAGCCTAGAAACATAGACGTAGCTCACTGAGGTTGCCCCCCTGACCCCTTTTCTCCTTGTCGTTTGTTTACGTGGGGTAATAAAAGGCCTGGTTGTTGACTCACAGGCTTCTTGCTTCAGATCCTCAGTGTTTGTTTTCTGAAGGGAGGCTTTCATTCTGATGCACCATCCTGCCACATGATCAGGATTTTGATAAGATGGACTTGGAGTGGAACAGATGGCTGACAGCCAGGTTCTCTCAATGAGTCAGAGACATCTGGACATGACAGGCAGCTTCCTGTGGTGCTTGTGATTCACTGCTTGTAAACCCATGTATGCCACCGTTTATATGTCATCTGGTGCCATAACAACCCTCGTGCAATTCCTATTTCATGTGGAGGTGTGTACCATTCCGCTGGCAGTTTAAGTACTTATTGTTGGGGCAACACATTTGAGTCATCATGCTTGGAAAAATGAATTTGGCCCGAAGAATGGGTTCAAATTCAGTTTGATTGCAACCGTTGAATATCAGCTGATGGATTGTTTTTACTTGTTGCCAATCCAGGTTATCATGTGTCTCTTTAACAGATCATTTCATCCACGAGCGGTTGACTCACGAGCGCTACCAGGCAGGCACGATGGAGCTTGAGCAGCAGGTAAGGTCCTAACCACGAGGCTTGCTCACAGGTGGATTGC